AGACCAAAAAAAAAAAAAAAATTAAAAGGGAGAAAAATAAAATGTTGACCCATATAAAATTCAAATAACATCGAAGAAATCTCAAAACCAATAAAAGAACATATTAAACTGACCAAAAGATCCCAAGGAGAGCAAACTGCAGCGGCACCTGCAATCGGGACATTCTCCCCATCTTCTCCAAGATATTTTACCTAAGCATTAACAAATTTAAAGAAGTATACCTTTTATCAACCTTAAGCTTCTTTTATTTGTGAAAAGGATTACCAAAATGTTAGCACCAATACTAGTTCCCACAACAAACAAAGGAACTTCTGAATACTCATGATGTAGGTGGTTAATCACTCGGCGTGCATCTTCGGTCCATCCGGCATTGTAGAAGCAATCGGACTGCGAAATTTTCGTAATTTTCACGATAACTATATATATATCGACGAAAAATACGATTTCCCAAGAGTTTTGTAGGGGAACAGGAAATGAAACAAAATTAAATTAAGAAAGTTCGAAACAAAGTTTGTTTTTATATATTTTGCATTTAAGTGTTCAAGAACTTTTGTACTTACGGTAACTGAGACACCACCAAGACCCCGGTGATTGCTGACCACCACATTCCATCCATTTTTTGCAGTATCAAAGACAAGGTGTTTCATATACTGCAGACCGAGCCAAATAAATAAATAAATAAAATAAAAGTGAAGATGAAATAAAATTAACAAGTTACACACCATTAAAAAGAAAGTTGATACAAGTTTCTGTGGTCAAATATCACCACATGTAAATTATACCGAATCTGAAGGATTTCAGTCTTTCTACTGTGCACCTATTTGGCTATTTCCAACTACAGATAACTAAAAGTATTCCCAATTCATGATACATACACAAGTAATGGAGAAGAATGCCCATGGGCAGGTAAAGCTCCAATAAAAGAACATATGTTATTCATAAGAAAATTATACCCATAGAATCAAATTATACCAGAACACATTCATGCAAAAAAAGGTAACAAAAAACATATATTCTTACAGGAGAAGCTGAATCACTTGTTAGACCCGGGATCATAACCACAATAGGAGTTTTATCATCCTTGGCAATTGCATGATTATTTGGAGAAGCTACTCCATGCACAACTGCAGATAAAGAAAGAAACGGTTAAAAAATCAGTTCACAAAATTTAATTTGAAGACAGAAGAATGAAATTTTCAATCCAAAAGGATACTGAAAAGCCAAAACCATATAGTATATCAAACGAAAAAAATATGAACTTATATGAGGTAAGCTGGATTCTGGTAAAGCTACATATGAGATGCTCCCTGTCCCAACAAACCACGTGCATAAAGAAGTAACGGTTTGTCTTCCATTATTATCAATTATATAACTTTGTGTCGTGGTAACTTTTGCTCATTTGTCTCATAAGAAAAAAAAAAAAAAGAAAGAAAGTCCCGTGTAAGATAAATGTTGATACTTTGAATGTCTGATCCATAATGTAAAATTAGAAGTGAGGAATTCACAAATATAATGGATTTGAGACACACGGCTGTTCTTGATAGATAATTTAACAGAGAACACACAACAGAGTAATTTACCACAGAAACCTAACAAGCAGGTAACGAAGTCATGGATGTTTGCAAAAACCTACATATGAAATTTATATTGGTAACTATAAATGCATTCCCGCTGTCCCGCGTAGTATTGCTAAATGCTTCAGCCTACAAGAAAGTATTTTCGGAACAATTATTACCATCAGAATGCAATAGCCAATCCAGAGCAAACGTCCCACCATCAGGTGCATGAAACATCTGCCTGATAACCATAAAGACACATCAAGACATAAAATTACCAATTATGCATCTACCCACAAAGTCATGTACAGTGAATACGTTAACTCAAAATTCCGGAACACTCTGTACTCGACTTATATATCTACAAAAGAACTCAGTGGCGACATATAACCTTATACAGTACCGATACAGATGCGAGTAACGCTTATGACTGGACATGATTCGTGTCATAGAAAATCAGACAAGCACTGCTCCTAACTTTCAATCCCACATTCTTCACGGAAAACACTATTTTTTTTTCTCAAAAAGAAAAGAAAAGAAATATAAAGAAATGAAAAGCTGGACCTTCTGTAGGTAAACACTGGTGGCCTCCCCAAGAAGTTTACAAATGAAGTTTGGATATGTGGGCTCGAGAGCCAGGGAGTAGCCAGGTACCTGTTTACAAATGAAGTTTGGAACATGTTAGCAAAATGTTACCTGAATAAACCTGTTATTTCGAAAACCTGGAAAACAAAAATAATAATAATAAAAGCATGATGAAGCTGTTTCAGGTAACCATAAGCAACCATACTCCATGAGCCCTCAAGCAAGACCATAATAAAGGAAAATTACAACAAACCCACCTATACAACCAATTTCTTGATGAGACAAATTTTCTCCACAGTGAGAGAGAAGATTTCAGTAGCACAGTGAAACAACAACAACAACATACCCAGTATATTCCAACAACAACATACCTAGTATATTCTCAGCAGGTTGGGGTCTGGGGTCAGTTGTACGCAGACCTTACCCTTGTAACAAGGAAGCTGTTTCTCTAGCGACCCAAGGTGCATTGTGTCGTTTGGTATATTTTTTTTTCTAGAATTTAATGGAGCACAGTGATACAGAACACTTAATTTCACCTTTTATGATGTTTTTCAACTCAAAACCCATCAAGATTACATTTTTACACACCTAGATTCTAATTACGTACTCAAAAAAAAAAAATTAAAAAAAAAAAAAATTCAGAAATGAATTTTGTTTTTTTGTTTTTTTTTTGAGCTAACCTCCCATGGAGCGCCCTACACTTGGCCACAACCCCATGGTAAATCTCGGAGCTGGGGTTGTACGTCAGCAACACGGGACCACCACGAAAGCCAGTAAAAAGATCCTGAAAAAAATGAAACTCCAGAAAATTGTACCAAAACACAACGAGAAACAGGATCGTCCCCACCAAATAATGGGACAAGGGTATCGCAGCAGCCGACTTGAATAGGAGCTCGTAGGCAATCGCCGGCGTTTCAAGAATTTCTTCGAAGCAATCCATGGAGGCCAGATGGAAAAACAAAAAACAAAAGTGTTGAGCTTCTCGTGGGATGTGAATTTCTTTCTTTTCATTAATGGCGGTGTCTGGTGAGAGTGTTGGGCTTATTTTTAATGTGGGCTTATAATAATGATGATGATGATGATGATAAAATTGTTTTATGTTAGCTAAGCTAAAGAAGAACGTGTTGGTAGGAATAAGGTTGGGTGCGGTTGCTTCCATATTTTATCTTACAGTTCGAAATTAAGTCGCGTTTTTCTTTGACTGAGAAAAGTTTGTTGGTTTTTTTTTTTTTTTTTTTT